TCGTCCTGGTGAGCGGCAGGACAGAACGAAAAATAATTTTCTCCTCCTGCCCTGTCCTGTCCTGCGGTCAGCCTCGTCCTGTTGAGCGGCAGGACAGAACGAAAAATGACTTGCCATCCTGTCCTGTGCGGCTGGACAGGACAGGACACTAAGCAGGACAAACACAACATCTTTAATTTTCGATTAAGTGAAGCGTATACTAAACGTTTCAGCCATCTTATAACCAATCTATTTTATTATTTATTCAAGCATCACAATATCATTCTTGAAGAAAACTTAACTCAATAAATACAAACAAATAAACATAATAAATTACTTTCCAATAACACACATAGAAAAAAATACAGATAGAACAAAATACAAAAGTACCATATTACATCATCAATATTATTTCCACGCAGTGAATAATCACAGCAATAACAAAAAAATAATATAACAACAAGTGCGTTTTTCAATAGTGGCAAAAGTGTTTCTAATATAAAAAAATGTAATGAGCAAAAAAAATGAAACAAACTTTAAAAAGTTTTTCATACTTTTGCATCGATCGAACCAGAAGAATGTTATCCAGCTGCTCCGGATTAAGATTAGTTCTTCTTTCTTGAATAACTAATCCAGCTTCTGAAAATTCTCTTTCAACTGCAGCAGCGGTAGCTGGTAGAGACCTGCGGGGAACTCCGAAACCCGATTATGACTCCGACTCCGTCGGAGTCGGAGTCGGAGTCGGGTTTACTGAAAAATTTTTTCGGAGTCAAAAGAAATAGAAATTATAACCATCTATGGATAATTTTTGCTGTTTCATAAATCAATAACTTTATTTTTCATATTAATAATCAAAAGAACAAAAAAAAACCACTTGTTACATAAGTTAAGAATGAGTTTTAAGACAAAAAATAATAATAAATAGATAATCTTTCAATTATAACATTCGAATTGTCAACAATATTAGGTACTAAAATATAGTAGAGGTTGCTCGTTTTCAATAAAAAATTTCGGAATTTTTCGGAGTTGGAATCGGAGTCAAAAAAATAGAAGTTCTCGGAATCGGAGTCGGAATCGGAATTGTTAGGAAGAAATTTTCGGAGTCGGAGTCAGGTTTCGGAATCAAAAAACGTGACTCCGCAGGTCTCTAGTAGCTGGTATTGAAAAAATTGAACGAGCGAAACGTGATAAACGGGGAAATTTTTACTTGTTGATCCTTTAGTGAATATAAGATAGTGATGCACATAGGACAACTTTTTCTATCCTGTCCTGTTCTGCAGTCAACCTCGTCCTGGTGAGCGGCAGGACAGAACGAAAAATAATTTTCTCCTCCTGCCCTGTCCTGTCCTGCAGTCAACCTCGTCCTGTTGAGCGGCAGGACAGGACGAAAAACGGCTCACCCTCCTGTCCTGCCGCACAGGACAGGGCAGGACACAGGACGACCGCACCGTCCTGTCCTGTGCTCATCTCTGACTTCATAGTATAGCAGTTGAGGACCTAATGGTACCCCCAATATATAGTAGTCGAAGACCTAAGGGTACCTACATAGTATAGCAGCTGAGGACCTAATGGTATTGCAATATATAGGGCTTGAGGACCTAAGGGTACCCCCATAGTTTAGTAATTGAGGATCTAAGGGTACCGCAATATATAGTAGTTGAGGACGTAAGGGTACCTCCAATATATAGGACTTGAGGACCTAAGGGTACCCCAATATATACTAGATGAGGACCTAAAGTTGCCCCCATAGTATAGTAGGCGCGGACTTAAGAGTACCCCCAATATACAGTAGTTGAGGACCTAAGGGTACCCCCATAGTATAATAGTTGACGACCTGACGGTAACCCTATAGTGTAGCAGTTGAGGACCGAAAAGTATCCTCAATATATAGGACTTGAAGACCTACGGGTGCCTCCAATATATAGCACTACTAATAACCGCTGAATTATCGTCACCGTTGGATCCCTCATCAGGACGACTTCCAAATATCCCTTGAAAAGTTATGAAAACTGAAAGAGATGAAATAATTTAATTTATTTTAAATTTAACATGAAAAAAAAATGAGTTAAATTTATCTTAAATTTAAATTGCTATTCCTAATGATAAGTGATATTTATTCATATCAATAATCTAATAAATGATTTTTTTTGTTTTAGGTTCAACTCAAGCATCAAATAAATGGTAAGTGATATTTACTAATATCAATAATCTAATAAATGATTTTTTTTATTTTAGGTTCAGCTCAAGCCATATATTCATAGTAAGTGATATTTATTATTATAAACAAGCTAATAGACGATTTTTTTATTTTAGCCTTCGCTCAAGCATAAAAAAAAATGGTAATTGATATTAACAAGGGGGAAGTAACTGATTTAAATCAGCTTTAAACTCATTTTAAATCACAAAAATCAATTAAACTCAGTTTAGATCACGAAAATCATTTTAAATCACGAAACTCACTTTAACTCATTTTAAATCACAAAAATCACTTGAAGTCATTTGTAACTTGCCATAAATCGGAAAATAGCAAGCTGTAAGTTTATGATTTAAAATGAGTTTATGTGAGTTTTCTGATTTAAAATGACTTTAAAGCTGATTTAAATCGATTTTAAATTCATTTTAACTCAAAAAACTCACCCTCACTCACTTTAAATCGGATAACTCAGATAAAGTCATTGAAAATCACAAAACTCACTTTAACTCATTTTAAATCACAACCTCACAATTTGCTACTTCCCCCTTGGATATTCATCAATATGGGTGTGGGTGTGGGGTGTGGGTGTGGGTGTGGGTGTGTGGGTGTGGGTGGGTGTGGGTGTG